TCGCTGGCTGCCCGCAGAGGTCTAGTCCACCCTTGCAGGTCCCAAGGCGTGACTTCATAGCCGACAACAGATGCAGCTGCCCCTGGCTAGGAGGAGGGAGAAGACGGGCCTTCAGCAGAAGACCATGGGCCCAGCAGCAATGCTGGAGAGGAGAGGAAAGCAAGTCATAGGACGTGATCTCCCTGTTCCACGGGGCCTGAGATTTCTGATTCAGTGGCACAGGAAGCGATGAAAGGAGGATACGCAGGGGTGTTGCTTAGCGTTTAAAAGGTTAAGGCCCAGGCCCACAGCACAAAACTCTGCATATACTAATTGATATTCATACACACAGAAGAAGAAATAATTACTGGGTTTTATTTAAATTTCACAGAAAGCAAAGCCAGGCAATTATCGTCTCATCTGAAGCATCTGACATAAGATAAATTGTTCGGTTAATTTGCACCCTGTTCCAAATCATCTTAAGTCAACGGGATATTTTTTAAACTAAATTGCTACGCAGGGAAAGACCTCACTGGGGAAGTTGCAGCTTATGGAAGGGGTGAGTTAATCTTCCCTCTCCAGTCGCCACCCCCCCTGACATCTGCCCTATGCACGGCAATGAAGCTGAGAAAAACACCTTCTGTTGACACCAGGAGATGCTCAGGGCTCCATGGAAAAGATCTGGGTTTGGGGAAGCAGAAACAAGAGTGGGGTCTAAAGGGCTCAGGCCCAGCAATGCCCCTGATGACACATGACGCCGATATTCGGCATACCTTTCACACAAGCTTCACCTGCACCCTGAATGTTATCCTGGGCACTGTGTGTGTTGGCTGTGTTACCCTGCCCCACAGTGATCTCACCTTGCTTCCACACTAAGAACAGACGTGCCATTCATTTTGAGGAATGCTAAAGGGGAAACTAAGGCTATGGAACCATTAAGGAAAGTACCTTTCATGCCTGGGGTGTTTCTTCTAACTCAGATAACAAACTAAGCTCTGTGGGCACTCACATTGTACTACTGATTGGATGGGCCTTTTAACACACACACACACACACACACACACACACACACACACACACAGCCACCAGCTTGCAATCCACAAGAGGCTCAGCCAACCTCTTGTTTTTGCTACCTGGGATAGCAAGAATTGGGGAGATGGTCACAAGTCCAGTAGATTGCAGCGTATGCCTGCTGGACGTTCTTGGCTTGATGGATCACAGCTGTGCTATTGGGTTTATGCAACTCACTTGTAAACTTACATCTCATAATAAAATTATGAATTAATACTTAGAAACAGTTTTAAAAGATTGATAAAAGGTTTTACTTTTACCTCAAGTTCTCTCAGAATTCTTTTACCAGTACTTCCTTCAGAACTACAGATCTGCAACCTAGCTCGTGGTCCTCAAATTACAAGCCGGACATCAGAGAACCTTCCTCTGCATACCCCCCCCAGAGGTCTTGCCTTAAGGAACTGCCTGTGTGATTAGTTTTTCAGAATACTCATAGTCCTTTAAGAGAGCCTCTTGAAAACTACTCAGGCCTTGTCTTACCTGTACTTCAGCTGACACTCCCCTCCCTTTCCTTGAACTGTCCTTGCCTGCCCTCTCTGCTCCACTTTGAGGCTTTCCATTCTGGAAGCTGGCCCCAAGGAGCTTCCAGAACTTCATTTGCAGGTGGCACCAACTGTGTAGTAGAGTAAGATGAAGGGGCTGGAAGCCCCTTTGAGGACAGAATCCTCCATCCATCAGCATCATGATCTGCAACTCTCAACATGTTGAACTGTGGCAAATACATTTCAAATTCTTTTGTATCTAAGGATAAAAGCTCACAGTGCAATCAGTGATTATCCACAGGCCTCAAACAAATGATCTGCCTCTGATTTCTAGGTAATCAGATGCCATGCATTTTAAAAGAGGCTTATTTGTGTCAGGTAGAGATACACCTGCTATTTTAGATAATGTCTTGGTCTGGATGGTAAGAACTTCCCAAAAAAAGGTAGTTCAACATCTTGTTTTCCTGCCACCCATGTATCACAATGAAAGTTTCCAAAGGCATACGCTCTTCATTTTAGTGGTCCGTAAAAGCTTTCGCCATGATGAGTCTACTTTGTCTTTAGGACAATGTTTATTTTTGCCTGGGGGACATTTTAGAGATCTGCCATTCGACTGCACAGAACGTCTCTCTCTTTGTACAATTCCACATACTCCATGGAGGGGTGAAACCGGGAATGGATAAATGCACTCCTCAAGCCGATCTCCACCCAACCTTTCCGCACTGTTGTTTCTCTTCCTCCCTGCCAGCCCACGTTTCATGTCTCTTAGCTCCAGTCTGGCAAAGCACCTGCTCTATCCTCTCCTTGTGTCCGAGGCCGAGACCACCACCTCCAGTGGTCCATGTGTCCCCCAACAAGGAAAACCCCATCATTCGGAGCCAACGCCACTTCCAGAGAAGTCAGTAGCTGTCCCATGCAAGCAGCGCTGGAGCCGGGCTTTGAGAGACGCACAGGGAGGCCAGCAACACGCTGCCCTCACAAGTTTCGGCCACAGCTCCCACCATCCCCAACCACAGACACTGCAGTCCAGCAACAGGTGATGGGCCCCATCCAGGCAGGTGGCGGCAGCCTCGGGCCTTGACTGCGAGTCCTGCCAGCACCACGGTCGGGGATCACGAGGAAGGGAGTCCAAAACGCGGGGCGGGGCGGGCGCCGGGCCCGGGAGCAAGGCAAGGCTGCCGGGCGCGGCGCCCTCTCGCCCTCCCGCGGCGGAGCGTACCTTCCTTGCAGCGCCGGCGCCAGATGGTGTCGGTGCGGAGGATGCGCCGGAAGGCGCCGCAGACCAGCGCCAGGTTGGGCAGCTCGGTGCCGGGCAGGGAGCCGAAGATCTGCACCAGCAGCTCCGGCGGCAGCTCGAGCAGCGAGAGCGGGGCCTGGCCGGCGCCCCGCGGGGCGTCCGCGGCCAGGGCCGCCCCCTCGATGCGCTCCTCCTCCTCGTCGTCCTCCGCCGCCGCCGCCGCGCCGCCGCCGCCGCCGCCGCCCTCCTCCGGGTCCGTGTCCGGCTCGCTGCTGTCGCCCGCCGCCCCCTTGCGCTGCGCGCTCCGCCGCCGGCAGCCCCGAGCCGGGCCCACCCCGCAGAGCCGCGCGCACCCCGCCAGCGCCGGCGCCGCCGCCGGCGGAGGACGACGAGGAGGGGGAGCGCATCGAG